CCATTGCACTCCAGCCTGGGTAACAGGAGCAAAACTCTGTCTCAAGAATAAAAATAAAATAAAATAAAATAAAATAAAATAAAATAAATGGCTTAGCTAAGCCCCAGTACCAGTTTATCACATGCCTGTGGTAAAAATCCCACTGAGGAAGAGGGCGAGGGGACCTACTGCATTTTCCTCCCTTCCCCCAGACATTCAGTGTGAGAGGAGAGAGCTGGCTATGCTCAGGCCTGATGCCTTTCATATTTCCAGGTGAGCTGAGCAGGGACCTACCTTGCGCCACCCGTCTCTGGCAAGCTCAGGATTCGTCCCCAGGATGCGAAAACCTCGATGGCCACCAACACTTAGCAAAGTGTGAGCATCACCAGGAAGCCAGACAGTCTAGAAAGAGAGGGAAAAAGAGTGGGGTAGGGGTGGGGAAAAGGTATCATTTTTTCTTTTTCTTTTTGTTGGCAAAAGGATCTCGTCTGAATTCCAGCATCCTGGATGGTCCCCACACTAACTGGATGCTAGTCCCCGCCTCAGATGTCCCAGAGGCTGAGCTGCATACTGTGGATTATCTCACACGGGCTGTGTACAAACTGCCAGCGCACGCAGATTACGGGGCAAAGTGGGTAGTAGGGTATTCCTAGCGGCAGACGTGAGGCGGCCCTCCCCGCTCCTCCCCGCTCCTCCCAGCACGCACAGCCCTAATCCCCACCATCGAGCCACTGACACTGAGTAAGAGAGAGAACAATGGCATTGTCTTCTATCTAATCCGAACTAAGAAACTCCAGCAACGGGGAAAAATAAAAAATTTAAATCTTTAATCTAATACTGAAAAGGACACAAACTCTAGAACTACAAAAACAAATCATTACTGTTTTCACACAATGGGTAAGAAGACCTTGAGGGGGCAAAGAATAGGTTCCCCGGGGAGAATTTTTTTTTTTTTAATTTATAGATTTAATACCTAGGAGGAAGAGTCTATCTATTACGGGGAGGCAGGGCTACTCTTGGTTCCTTCTTTTAAATGTAATCTATGAGAAAGCCATCTTTACGACGGGAAATGGCATCCCCCACTGCAAAACGCACGACTGTCATTACCTGGGAATCAATATATTTTTTTTAACTGAATATATCATTATCAATTGATTTTCCTTTTTCCTCTTAGCACTCTAGAGTCCCGGGTAGCAGGAGAAAGCTTTAATGCGATATGAAGGATTTGGACAGGTAAATAAGTTATTGTAAACTCATTCTGCCTTATGGCCAGCTTCCCTCTGACGACGCGACGGGTCTTTCTCAGATCCTCTTAACCTGAGCTTTTTCAGTGGCTACTGAAAGAGACACACGTGAGCCATATCAAATAGCCATTTTAAAGCTGAAGGTGGCAAAAATATTACTTTTCCCAAGGATAGAATGTTCCCTTTACGACTGAGAAATAACCTCTACGGGGACGCAAAATAAGCCAAGGTCACCATTTAAGTTTGACACAGAACCAAAGTGGCAAGTACATTTCCTCTACCAGGCCTGTGTGCAGGACGAGGAGAAATTGATCCCTTTGACCACAAGGTATTGGCAATACTGGTGATCGATGTCATTCTGGGAAAGATCCTTGGCAGGTAAGTGCTGGTGAAGAGAGAGGTCTAGGAGATAGGGGTCAAACCATTTTTAGGTGCCTAAGAATCACATCTATTCATTCATTCATTCATTTAATAAATACTGATTCCCTGTGCGTGTCAGGCAGTATGTTCAAGGCACTGTGAATATGTGGGCATCAAAATAGAAAAATATTCCTGCCCTCAAGAAGTGCATATTCTAGAGGGTGGAAACATAGAATATACACTTAAAAAGCGGTGAAAATTGTATCATATTTTGGGCAGTAGTATGTGCAATTTATTAGAGAAGAAATGGAGCAGGGTAGGGTGCATGTTGTGTGAGTGGCGGGGGGCATGGTGCAGTTTAAATAGGGTGGGCAGTGCCAATCTTGTGAGTGGAGGACATTTGAGCACATACTTCAAGGAGATGAGGAGTGGGTCCTGTGGGCATCCCGCCCTAAGTGTTCTAGGCAGAGGGAAGAGCCAGTGTGAACATGGCTGGTATGTTCCAGGACCAGCAAGGAAGCCACTGTGGCTGGCAGAGGGAGGTTCTAGTAAGAGGTGAGGCCAGAGAGGTGGGCACCCTGACTGTGTAGGACCCTGTAGGCCACTGTGAAGTCTACTAACTTGAGAGCCCAAAGATCCCAGCCACTATCTTTAGAAGGGGCTCCCAATTTCTTGAGCCAAAACCCTCCGAGCTCACGTCGGGTTAATTCACTTCCTTTCCAGGCCATGCCAAATGAATATGGAATGGGCTAGACTGGAGCCTGGAGGGACAGTGGTGGGAAGGAAGTGCAGGCTGTCTAAGCCTGTCCTGATGACAGTGGCCTTGCCCTTCCTTCTCTGTGGTCCCTACCTCTAGGGGAGACAGTTCTGAAATGGTTCTGAACAAAAATAAACCAGAGGCACAGCTGAGTTCTCTGGGACTTTTCCTTCCTGTGCTGATGAAAAGGTCTAGAGGTGAATGACCCGTTGGCTATTATAGACTGCACTGGGTATCTTCTGTTGGTCGCTCTCGGCCTGCCTTCCACCTTCTCCACCCTGTTCTTTCCACCTCTCCCAGGTGAGCCCTGGGAAGCTCACCCGACCTGCATGGAGAGCATCCCTCGAGTTCTGGAGCCTCTGCACTAGCAGGAGACTGGGGACAGGCTGGGGTTGGCTGCTGGCTCCCTGCTCCCCTCCCTGTCTGTGTCTTCATGAGCAGGCTGTCCCTCAACTGCAGGTCATGGCTCTAGTTGAGGAACAAGAAGCTCTACAAGGCTCTCTCTCTGGATTCCAGTAATAGCTCCCTCCCCTGAACATTACACTCAAAGGCAGTAAGTAATTCCCCTTATCCCATCATCAGCCCAGAGGCACAGCGCTATGATGGTTTCCTTATACTGTGCCTATACATTTGTGGATAGCCCTTTTACTTAATTCTCTTCAAATTGCACATTTGACTATGTCTGTTTCAAGACCCCAAAGGATAAATTCACAGAGAGGGTTAAAAGCAAGACCCTGGAATCAGACACATCTGAATTAGAATTCTAACACTGCTACTTAGTTTTGTGACAGCAGGTAAGTCTTTAACTGCTAGGAGCCTCTGTTTCCCATTCTTAAAGCTCCTCTTCCTCCTCCTCCTCCTCAGCATCACCATCTCAGCAGTGCTATCACCTGCTCAAAGTCCCAGGGCAAGCAGCACCTGCTTCACAACATCTTTGCCCACCCCTCCCAGAAACTCTTCCCTGGAAAGCGTTTCTAACTGTTCTCGGTTCACATCTGGCATCAGTTCATGCCTCAGTGATTTTATTTATTTTCTCACATCTTTCATTTCTTGTTCTTTTCCATCCACCCAACCTCCACCCCTTGCAGTTAGACCCTGGGCTTCCTGAGAATAGACAGTATCTTTTGGAATCTCTGGCCCACAGCACCCACTGCGTGCTGGTGTATAATTGATGCTTGACTCATTATTGTCCTTGGGAGGCCTATAAGCTACATCCATGCATCTAAGCACATTCCACTTTAATGAGATACATGTTATTTAAAAGTTATTTAAAAATACATTACTAAAAACCAATTTTTACTAATACTTTTGTTCCCAAGTTAACATTGTAAAACCTTATGTTTTCAAAGATCATGGCCCAGGAAAATGAATCCCAGGAATAAACCCAGGAAAAACAGGGAGATAGTTATGGTTTTCTGTCTCCAGATAGACAGACTGCTTCAGGGCTTAATTTGTGACACTTTTGGTCAAATTGACCTTTTCCCTTCCACTAATTTCATCAAAGGACAGCTTACAGTCTTAAGGAAAACAAACTGTAAAAGCCAAAGAACAGAGGACTCTAATTTATTTTAAAAATACAGTAGGTAGTCAGTCACCACTTGTGAAAGGGGTCTTATGGCTGTCAGCTTCCAAGGTACTTAAGAGATGCTAATTGACCTTGACAAGGCATCAAGACCAATGTAAAAGCAAGACCCTTGAATGGGCTATTTGTGTTAAATGCTGGGAGAGATTCAAAATGAAGCCAGAGAAAAATTTTGCGATCTAGTTTACCTCTACGTCTGTAAATATAGTTCCCAACATGAACCAAATTGATGGTCAAGAGACTGAAAAACAAGGGCCCCAGGATTTTCACTTTTCTATAAAATACACATTTTTTTTTTTCTTCTTTTGGAAAGAAACTGCCGTAAGAGAGGAGAAACCAATTAGGAAGCCTCCAGTTTGACACAGATCAGAAAGCAGCCCTGCCGGGGTCTTAACCATACTTTCCAATTATGGGTCCAGAACCCAGAAGTTCAACACCCCTCAGCAAACTGGGCAACAAAGAGTCTTTCTTCCTTGGAAAAGAACAGCAAAGGAACCGGAGGCTGTAAACTGTAGGGAAGAAACCAGCTCCCAAGCCCACCCTGCTGTCAGCCCAGGTGTGGGACTCCGCGGCACCTCTGACCCTGGGTGGGAATGTCTGCTCCAGTGTGTCCTTCAAGAGGAACGCTCATTCATATTCTTTTTCTTTTAAGATGAGAGAATAACAGGCCATCTATCCATTAATAATATCAACCATGGGTTCACCAAAGCCTGCAGGCTTCTTGCCAACACAAAAATAAGCACTCTCAAAAGGTTTATCCATCAGGTTCACGACAGTTCACGAGCCGGTGTCCGGAAGGCACTGCTTTTTAAAGGGGAGAGTGAAGATGCAAAGGTGGAGTGAGTCATGGGAGTCCACCCAGCACAACGCAGAGATTTCCTATTCCATTAAGGAGCCGCAGTTGGCCACTGATGAGATCAGCTGGTAGGGATGCGCCTCCTGGCATGCTTTCTTGTAGGCGTGTATTCAAAGACAGTGTCTGCAGAAACCAGGCTGATGACTGAGAGATAACAATGTTTTCACAAGGCTTGAAGTTGACAAAGCCTAGCTCATTCTTATTTTCTCATTTACCTGTTCTAACAAATTTATGATCTGTTACTTTTATAATTACTTTTATAAAAAGCTGATTACTTTTATAATCCTCTTTTTACAGATGAGGAAACAGAGGCTCATGGCAAAAAAAAAAAAAAAGAAAAAAAAAAAAAAAAAAAAAAAAAAAAAAAAAAAGGTTGTCCAAAGTCACACAGCAAGTAATGGAGGGAGCTGAACGGGAACCCCGGATCTTCCGCCTCCCATGCCAGGCTTTTGTTCCTGGGCCTCCACCCGCCTTCACCCCTCTCCTCCTGAATCCCCCCCACCTCCACCAGAGACATCCTTCTGCACTCTCTGGAGTACAGAAACTGTCCAGGCAAAACACTGGAGGCTATCACAAGAAGGGCACACGTGCCACCCAAGGAGG